CGTTTTTACTTCACAATTCCAGAAAATGATGTTTTCTCCCTCCTTCCCGTCAAATGCACTTACTCTCAAAACGAGCGGGCGAGCCTTAGGCTCCGCATTTGGCATAGGGATGTGGCGCGTCGGCCTAGCCGTTAACACATATTGATGGACCTGCTAATCAACGTTGCCTTGATCAGCATAAATGCTCCCTGTCGTGCATTGAGCACTTCCGAGTCTTAGGTCACCTTCTGATCGATTGATCCGCTCCCAACCAAAGCTATAAGATTATCGGGCGCGAGGAGTTGTGCCTCAGATACATTAGCTACGCTTTTCATCGCAACAGAGGTTTTGTCGATTTTTGACTACGGTGTAGGGTTGACTGTAGTACTAGTAAGTGTAGTGGAGATACGCAGCTATTGGTCAGAGGTATAATTACGAATCTATAAGTCACCTAGTTCTACGGAACCAAGTTTCTACTATTTTCAAGAGGATTCAGCTTTTAGAACTAATCGAAAAGACTCGAAGAGTCTTCAATCTCGTAGAGCTTCCAATCCTGGTTCAGGGGACTAATAACGACTCGAAGAATCATGCGCAAACCGTGCTCTGGAGTATATGCCACAAGCTGTCTCTTACTCTTAGCGATCAACTGAATTCGAAACTAGACGCGTGTCAATAGAAGATCAAAAGGGAAATTAACCTTTTTTCCCTTAGTTTTATCTGTAATAAACCTCATTTAACTACCTAAAACTAAGGTTAAACTAATTCGCATAGTAATCTTCAGTCTATTAAAGATCGATGGATGGCACATCAATCGGTCATCAATGGATAAATGAGGTTATCACCCAAATCAATATTCAAGAAACAACTTGGGATAGTAAACCACATGTACAAAGTATCTTCTCCCAATGGAGGGGGTAAATATCGTGTGACCCCGTTACAAGACGTGCTATGCCACAACGACCATATCTCGACCAATTCGCTTCCAGAATAATATTACTGAAGTACAAGCACAAAAGAGTAAGAACACTTTCACATTGAGTCCGCTGTTCCATGTGCAATTGCGTGTCTGCAATAAATGAAACAGACCGTACTTATCGAAAATTTTGCATGGGCTCCATACAGGGTAGCTTTGATGCGACTTTGCGCAACATAACGTTCGGTAAGATCACAGGCCTATCCGAATTAACCGAGTGCAACTGTCGTGTGAAGCAAGCTAGAATCCTTTTGAGATCAAGACGACGATACCGAGGTAAACAGGCTGCAAAAATCTCTTTTCTGCGCCGCTTGTACAAAATGCTACCATTCAAAGCATAAAATTAAATAAAGTTTCTTGCTCATACCCACTCTTTAAAAACAAGTCGCTAAAGCCCGCCCAAAATAATAACGACCAATAAAAGTGTTACCTTACGCCCTTGTCGACGAGGGGATGCTGCACGAAATGCTATCTGTAACGGGGTATCCCGTTACATGATATTGACGCCAAACGGCGTCAATAGGGAGATTGTCTAGCATGACAATATTCCTACCAATATTATCCGAGTGGATAATATTGAAGGAATATTATCCCCTTTTAGGATGACATCCATGCGCTACTCTAAAATTGGTTGATGTAAGACACTTATAAACCATAGATTACCACCAATCGCTGCAAGACGCGCGCAATGAGTGGTGAGCAGGTAGTCGTCATTCGTCGAAGTAATTTAATATAGTTAGATAAAGACTGAAGCTATATTGATAGCTTAACTATACTGAATACAGTTCTCTTTTTACCCATTACTCAACCTAGCTGTTTGAGTAAATTAGCTTCCTCTGCACGAACTAGTGTACGTAAAGTTTTGTGGCACCCCAAACGAATGGCGCCCGTTACACCTGTTAGCACTTCGTAATCCGTCCAACGACTACTTAGTGTCCGTCCAACCTGAACATGTTGGACTTAGAAGACGACAGCTTTCACGTCACACGTGAAGGCTACTCCCATCTGAGTGACTCAGAATGGGACGTAGTCGGTCGCCTGAGTGTCCTCATGGGCGAACCCGCCATCAGTGGTATGTTGGAGTCTCTAAGCAGATACCAGCAACATGCTGCTATCAACAAGTTCCTACAAGGGGAACTTGCCGTCGAACGACAGAAGATAGCCTTGCTACAGCAGCAAGGCTCTCATCAGTCGATGGGCGGGCCGACGTACATGCGTCGACCAAAAATCTTGAAGATGGAAACCTCAAGGTACTAAGGAATCGATGAAGATTCCTTTTGAGATAGTTTGTCAAGTTAGACGAATCCCTAAGGGCCCGTAAAATCGAGGGTGACGAGATGCAAGTGACTTTTGCCCTGTCAAATTTAACAGGACGCGCAAAGACTTGGGCCTTAGGACTCAAGCTTCACGACCCAAACGTGTTTGAGTCGTTGGAGATTTTGAAGTATCGGCTCTAGGAGACTTTTGATCCGCCGAGAGCCGAGTTCAGAGAACGTTCTGCACTCTTGAGGCTCAAGCAAAGTAAGCGTGACGTGCACGCTTACGCACAGCACCTACGCTACCTTTCGAGTAGCGTCGCGGAAAACCCTGTTGATGATCACACGATCATCAACTTGTTCATCTACGGCCTTGTAGATGGACCGGTGAAAGCCTACATGTTCCAAGGGGACTTCCATACGCATAAAAAGTCGATAGCGTATGCGGAACAGGAAGACACGAGCCTGAGACAGTCTCAGGCTAACTCGTCAAATATCGTCCGACGAGACGACAGGAAACAGGAGGTCCCGAACCAATGGACCTCTGTTACATCGAGAGCGAGAACTCGCGCTCTCTGAGCTACAAGCAATCGGCAAGATGCCATCGCTTTACGAAATCGGACGCTACGCTAATGCGTCTAATTTCCCAAGCACCGCAACACGTCCTAATACAGGACGTGATGACCACTGACCAAGGAAAGGTCCAAGGCGTGGGTCCGACTATGTCGCTAAGCCGCGACAGCAAGTCGGACCGCCAAAAAACGGTTAGGGTCGGTAGGGGCGGATCACCCTGCTGACCCAGCAACGTCGAGAGAATTTGCAGGACTCTTGACGAAGATTGCTCCCAACACACAGTCGCAGTGTGTTACTGCCCCTAGTGTTGAGGAGTCTCTCATCAATTTGAAGATGGAAGTGACATGTGAAATGTCACTTCGCGCCCTAGTTGACTTTGGGGCTTCGAACGGTTTTATTTGACGCCAGTCGCTGGAAGATAGTAGTCTCAACTATGTTGAGCGAGAGTTCCCTTCAACGAGGATGACGGTGTGACTTGCTACAGGCGCATCCGTAACCGTCATGAAGCGTATAGTGAAGATCCACTACACGCTAGAAGGAAGGCAGTACGATGATGACTTCATCGTACTAGATTTGGATGACAAATTTGGTGTCATCCTTGGTATGCCATGGCTTAGAAAGTACCAGCCATGGGTCAGCTGGCAGCATCGATCCGTGAAGATGCCTGCCGTTTGTTCATCGGATCTGATGAACGTCTTGGAGCGTCCACAAGCGTGTGGATGTTCAACGAGTGAGTGCGATGGCCTCACTTGTGGTACGGTCGCTAGTATAACTGCACAAGATCACAGTGTAAGAGGGCCACTACACTGCGGAACCAGCTTCCGGCACCTGTGTAGAGACACAGGCTGCGCCGAAGGTTCACCTCTCGAAGAGATCGAATAGACTAGAACACGGATGCACATCAAGAAGGGTGCATCCAAGAAAAGAGATCAGTGTTGTTTAGGATGAACAACTCGTGAAAGCGAGATCGACTATCAGAGAGTCAATCGTAGATTAAGCACGATCGACCAAAAGAGAGTCGATCGAAGAGGACGTGACTGTGAAAGTTTACCCACAGTCAGAATACGTATTGGAAGAGATTTCCAGAGATCCTGAGAGTGATAACTCCCGAGAGAGTTGCGTTGAGGGTGTCAATCCCTAACCACCTGAGGATGTGTTTTTCCAGGAAAGCACCGAGACAGTGGATGTCTTGGTGAACGACGGATCAAGTGTAGGCGCTTATACACTTGATCTAGTTACACCTCCGAAGTCAGCTTCGGAGGTGATCAAGTTGCCAACGCTAGAATCTAAAAGATTCTTGCGAGATCTGCGTAGTGACAAGATCAAGCATATCTGCGTACTCGTCATAGAGGACGAGTACGTCGCCGATATTCGGTCGGCACAAGTGTTTGCTGAGAACGAACCGGTTCTCAGTAGCTTATCGATGTACGAGAGTGTCTTTGATGAGAAGACTCGGATTGAGCGATACACGCCTCGATATTGGGAGTCTTCGAAGACACATCCTTTGTATAAGGATTTGGTTGAATTCAGACATACTTTCCCTGAATCCGTGCCATGAGAGTTGCCTAATGACGAAGGCATTCGGCATGAGATTGAACTGAAACTTGGTTCGAAGTACTGTGTCATGAAGCAGTGGCCACTGCCTCGTGAACAGGTCACGGTGATCGACATTTTTTTGCGATCGTTTAGCGGCCGGTCATGCGAAGTAATTAACATCCCCACACAGCTCTCCGACCTTCTATGTGCGAAAGGCCACAGGAGGGTGACGGATAGTGCATGCATTTAACAAGCTGAACTCTGCAACGGTACCGGCTCAAACGCTGATACAAAGGTAGGACGTCATCATAGATGGTATGGCAAAAAGTACCATCGTTTCGTCCATGGATTTGATGGATGGCTTCTATCAGATCCTAATGCGTGAACTGGACATCCCGTACACAGCAGTGAGCACCCCCAGTTGTAGGCTTTGGGAGTGGCTAGTGATGCCACATGGGCTGAGAGAGAGCACCCTTAGTGGTATGCTCTACTAGTGGCTGGTGATGCCACAGGGTCTAAGTAACGCCCCCGCAACGCTTAACATATGTGTTACGAGTCTGTTGCGATCGGTGCGCAATTTTGCACCGAGTTACTTAGACGATGCCTTCGTCCACAGCCGGGCTATGGATGGAAAGACGGACGTGGAGATTTATAGAATACACGTCCGGAAGGTTCGTACTCTAATGCGGGAGCATAATTCGTTCGCGAACCTCAAGAAATGCATATTTGCAGCGAACGAGATACCACTTTTTGGCTGCATCGTGGGTAAAAACGATGTACGCCCTGATCTGGAAAAGATTAAGGCTATTAGCAACTGGCCCGTGCCAGTCGACGTCAAGGTACTTCGGAAGTTCCTTGGCTCAGCGGCGTACTTGCACAAGTACTCGCGCAACTATGCTGAATTGACCGTACATATCTCTCGTCGGTAAGAAAAATGAGAGTTGGTCATGGAGTGCTGAGTGTCAGCACTCCTTCGAAGGCATCAAGAAAAGCTTGATGCAATCGCCTGTGTAGGTGATTGCAGACCAGGACAGACTATTCCATGTAATCTGTGACGCCAGCGATTTTGCAATCGGCTGTGCGTTGATATAGTAAGACTCAGACGGCGTTGAGCGCGTCGTCTGTTATCAACTGCGTCAGCTGCAAGCAGCTGAGCGTACTTACCCAGTGCATGACAAGGAACTCCTTGCCATGAAATTTGAGCTGGTTGAGTTTCGGGTATATCTCTTAGGAGATAGGCCCTTCATCGTTCATACTCACCATGCGTCATTACGCACGGCCGTAAACAGTCCACACCTCTTGCAACGAATGGTGAGGTGGCTGTCTTTCTTCGCGGAGTACAACTTCTCCGTCGAGTATAAACCAGGACGACTTAATGTCGTCGCTGATGCTCTTTCGCGTTGGCCCAATTTCGAGCCGACTGCTCAACCCAATAGTAGGGGTGATCCCACTGTCGCGACTCTAATAGTGAGCGTTCCGTCGTCGAATCTGATCGATGACGTGCGAAAAGGATACACAGAAGATGAGTCTCTTCTGTGGCTGATGGTTTACGTATCCAATCCGTGTATTCAAGCTTTGAAAAGATTGTCGTCTCAATATTGCTCTATAACCGAAAGGTCTGTTCGTGATGGAATGATGTATAATAGCAGTCACGGCGACACATTGAGTGTCTTCATTCTTGCTCATAATAACCTGCGACTGCGCATCATGCATGAATGTCGATACCCCGACAAGTGGTCATCGCGGCAGGGAAAAGACTTACCTCACGGTAAGTCGTTACTTCTACTGGCCCCACCAGTATGAGTTTGTGCGCAAATACATTCGCGCTTACGAAGTTTGTCAACGGGTGAAGCCTATTCCTTCATCCCGTGCACCCTTGCAGCCTCTACCGATTCTAGCAGAATGCTGGCAGTCCGGATCGATGAACTTCGTATTTAAATTTCGCAAAGACGCTTACAAGAATACTGCTATTCTTGTGGATGTTGATCAATTCAGCAAGATGGTACATTTTGTTGCTGTACCGGAGTCAACCACAGCCCCGGGCTGAGCTCGTGCCTATATCGATAATATCTTCCGGCTTCACAGTTTACCCCGTGAACTCGTGTCAGGTAGGGACCCCCGCTTCACAGCGGAGTTCTGGCAATCCGTGTTTCTTTAACTCGAAAAAAGTATGAAGATGTCAACTTCTGACTATCCATAAAACGATGATCAGACGGAACACGTCAATCGCGTCCTTGAAGAGACTTCAAGGGTACGTCCACACGTTTACGAGTTGGAGTGAGTTCTTACCGATGGCGGAATTCACCATCAACAACTCGGTGCATGCGTCAACAACGCTTACACCGTTCTTCGTGTGTGGTCTACGACATCCACGTTTACCGGCCTTATTAGAGTGTGACTCTAGTTTGAGGATGGGTGGACTCGCTCGAGCAAAAACCGATCCGGTTCTTGCTCATCACCCGTCGACAGTGGTGTCGACGTGATGGATGCCGATGTCGATGCGATCGACATCGATGATGATGACAACGATGCTGGTATATTTAGCATCGCCAAAGACTGCCACAGTGAGGAAGATGACGCACTCACTGGTGGAGACAACGTAACTGGTGGAGGCAATGTTCCTTCAGCAGTGCACACGAAGCGCACTGCCGTTATCAAGGATAAGTCGGCAGAGAAATTTCTACTGACTCGCGAAGCGGTTCGTCCGCTTCTTTCAAGACTCTATTGCAGATGCACTAGACAAACAGAAAAAATTCAGACAGATATCGAAGAGAAAATGTTCTTTCATTTGATGGAGTAGACTTAGTTTACTGTTCAAAGTAAATCTAACGAAACATGCAGTGACAAACGTGGGCAGCAGTAAATTACTGCCTAAGTGTATCGGTCCATTTTGTGTATTGCGCCGAATGGGCAACGCATACACGATTGAACTGTCCCGTGAGATGCGTACGCATCCTACGTTCTACGTTGGACTTCTCCGCCCGTACTATCAGTGCGAGCCCATTTCGAGAGGCGACGAACACCTGCGCGGTCAAGAGCCAAGACCACCTTCGAGTGGTCCCGTTTCAACGAGCCAGTCTGGTCAACTAGCAAAGCGATCTGCTCATGTAGTTATGCGATGTCTCGACGATCTGTAGCCAGCTCGTCACGAAAAGAACGAGTCGTACGTTCTTTCTCAAGTTGTGCGAACGCAAACCCGGAACAATCGTTCGAACGATCGTGCGCTAAGCAATTGTAATAATCCTTTACAATGTCGTGGATCTCATACTCCGAGTCCTTCAATGAGCCAGGTCGTCGTGTAACTGATTGGTTGCACGGTTCAGTTCTTGAACATCAAGCTGATCCGACCCTCGATTCGGATCAGGTGTTCCAGCCACCACCACACCATTTCGTGGATTCTGGCGGTGGTCAACGCTTTCTGTTGGAGAGTATCTTTAGAGAGTACCACCGCGATGTGATTGGCGTCCGGACGAGTTACCTTGTCCGCTGGCGTGGCTATTCACCGACCTGGGACAGTTGAGGGCCTCGTGCCCAGCTGATTGTTGATGTCCTTGGTCTCGTCGATCAGTACGAGACCTACCCGCTGCGTTTGAAGAAGGGCCGTCGGAAAACGACCTCACCGAACGCGAGTACAGGGATTTCAAAGTGTCAATCCCTTCGGCCATCTTGGAAGAGATGCGCGCCCTCCAGTAGGGTTGGTTAGGGAGGTAGGCCTCTCTAGGGGCACGGTTTGAGTTGTCTAGGCAACCTGGACACGAATCACCGCACGAAAGACAGAATAATCATGCCTTTCTTGACAGTCGGTGCAGCTTGTACTGTACCCCGACTGGGTTGCGCTTCTCAAACCTGATGCGAGCTCTATCAAGTTTACCGAGTCAGGCCTCGCGGCTAATGCACTCGATGTTATGGATGAGAGCATTCCATCCTTGCACCAATGCCTTTCCGTCTCCACCATGCTGCCATTGTACCACCGATGTTTGAAAATGCATCAGTGAAGAACTCTTTCTCAACACGGAGAGTTTCTGTGTTGGAATAAGGCGGGCAAATCTTCCTGCAATCAAACAACGGGATTCGATCCCGATCTGTAGTCATGCCGGCCAACTGGTCCAACTCTTTGAATGACGGCATCCAAGGAGTCTCCACTTGAGGAGCGTGGCGCAGGACATTTCGGTCCCTGGCCTCTTGATTGGTGTCAGCATAAGCACTGACACCAGTGACGCTTCTATCCCTACAGTTATTTCGCTCTTGGTGATGCATAGATGCATCACCACCATCAACACACATCCTATCGTTGGATGGACTTGCATGATGCGAGGATTCGTCGGAACAATCGCTCGATCTGAAGATCTCGAGCATGATGCCACCACGTTCACCAGAGCCAGTCAAACTGGCTCTTGCAGTGTCGACCCCAGGTGATCCGAAGGCGTGAGGTGTCTCCTTCGAGTCGCATGCATCATCCGACTCGCCAGAATAGATGAGCTCTACTTCAGAATCATCTGCACTGCGATTCGCGGTACCTGTAACGGGGCACCCTGAAGCTTGTACTGGTGACAGTACAAGCTACTTATTCTGATGACAGAATAAGGCGGTGCCTCGTAACTTCACGTACACTCGTACGTGCAGAGGAAGACGGTAAGAAGAAGCGAGTACTTGGTTTAAGTGAAACGTAGAACTGTATTTATAATAGTTAATGTCTGCAATAAATCACTATTTATCTTCATCTAACTATGTCTAAATACAAATGTGTAAATCAACTATCTGCTCACCACTCATTGCGTGCGTCTGTCGTGGCGCGTCTTCGTTGGTTGATATAATGGCCTACATCAACCAATTAGGAACTACTCGTAAGTGCTACAGAATATTTGTCCTTATGACAATACTCTGAGAATATAACTCTTATAGTTATATTCTATTAACAATTTCTTATAGATTGTTATGTAACGATTCACCCCGTTACATCACCCCCCCCTTAACCATCAGTCACTTTAGTGACTGATTGACTAAATGGATACTCGTCCCAAATCATTTGGGACAGGGTTTGCACTTGTTGGTCCGAGTCCACTTTCCAACATCTCATCGCATGGTTAACAAGCCCATGCGGTGCGCGAACAAGGCCGCCGAGAGCGCGTCCGCACGTCTCTGTGCGGACGCCGAAGCAGAAACTACAGCAACTGATGTCTCATCGGTTTCTGAAGCGACTCAGCTTGTGTCACTTGGTGATGCAGGCGCTGGTCATGAAGACACTCATGTCTTCACAGAGTATGAGCTCGGTGTCTCATACTCTCCCGATACGTAAGACGGATCCGTATCGACGGCGATTGAATCAATGCCGCCTGCCAAGCGTGGCATGGATGATGCTTTGCGTCGTAGCATCTTTGCTTCATCTGATGAATTAGATGAACCATCGCCGAAGCGAAGGCGCTCGAGGTCGCGAGACTCGGGCGCTAACAGTGGTGTCGGTTCTCCTATGGACACCACTTCACAGCGAGGTGCCAGTACTTCTGTCGGCACGTCGCAGGAAGAGCGGGACCGCAATGTGTTGCGTCTCGCTCCCGAGAAGAAGGCATGGATGCCTCCAAAATCTGTCATGGATCACTTGTCGGCGACGACGAGTGATCGTTATCGAACACGGTTGTTCGATTCGTCAAGGATCCATCACCTTGACCCCAGTGCGAAAAACTATCGCGCTGAGAATGAATTCTTCATCGATGCTTTCTTTAGACATCGATGGTACAGTGGGAATCACAAACGTGATGGTCCCTCACTGCTTCAAGCGTGGAACGCCTACATCCATAACCTTGAGGATGTAGGTCGTGACGCTTGGAACGACAAACTTATCAAAGCTCGTGATAAGTCTGAAAAGCGAACCACGACAGGTGCATGCTACAAGCTGCATCGTCTGTCCAGGGAGAAAGGATTACCCTGCCTCTCTTGGGGAGAATCGTGCCCATGTTGTGTGAACAACTCTGCACGAGCACCTAAGGAGGCTTACCTCCCTACTAGCCCGCGGTGGCGCGTACGTATCTCTATTGAGATGTACGAAGGGATTGACAACTTGAAATCCCTTTACGACCGTGCCGGGAAGACTTTCTCCGGCGGTCCTTCTGCGGCACAGGATGTGCCACGTCGTACTGCTCGACCAGACCCAGTACGTCGATCATCAGTTGGGAGCGGGGCTCCCAAGAATCCCAGGACGGGGGATAACCGCGCCACCGGACGAGATAACTCGTCCGACGTCCGTTCACGTCACGGTGGTTCAACAGCTGCTCAACTGGATAGCGCTGGCCACCGCGAGAGTCCTCTAATGGAGGTGGAGGAGGAGGAAAGACGCTCTCCACACGATCATGTGGATCGGTGTGTTCCCGAGAGCTTCTTTGTTCGCGTAACGCAAGGGTTACGCGACGATCTCGAACATGAGCGGAATAGGCATCTCCAAATGGCGGACACTGCCTTGAAGCATCGAGCTGAGTTTGCCTTTGCTCAGCTTGAGAACGAGAGATTTCTGACATCTCTTCGTGACGAGCTAAGGGTAGCTCGTGGGATTGTTGATCGGTCTCGGGATGAGATAGCTGCTCTTCAGACCCTTGTTGATGCCCACCATCGGGAGCACAAGGCTCTCTGCGAGATGCTTGAGCGCAAGGGCGTTCTTCATCGAAAGAAGCAGCGTACTGATGGTACGGCTAAAGCCGACCAACGTAAAACGTGGGATGCGTTCGCATCTTACGTGGTAACTCGATCGTGTATGCATTGCCTAGGCGGTGCAATACACGAAATGGGCCGATGTACTTGGGTATTAGTTTACTAATACCCAAGTTAGTCACTACATGCTTTGGTAGATTAACCGTAGACAGTAGGACTAAGTCACCTTTATTAAATAAAAGAGTGTTTGCCCTTCCATTCTTGTCAGCGTTTTGCTTTTGCTTATCCAGCGCTTCGGCGATGGAGTCTTGCACAAAACGGACTACCGTTTCACGAGCCAGTATGAACTCATCTGATGACTCGTTAGCTTCAGTGCGCTGTGAGCGCACTGCAGCAACATCAACCTTTTCTTCAGTGAGGGCTTCCGCACTCTCACTGGCATCATCTTCTTCAGTGAGGGCTTCCGCACTCTCACTGGCATCATCTTCTTCGATATCGATGTTATCGATATCGGCATCAAACGCAGTGACCTCTTCGTCAGAGCGTGATGAGCGTGAACCAAATCGGTTTTTGCTCGCGCGAGTCTCTCCCCCCCTTAAACCTGAGTTACACTCTAGTAAGGTGGGTACACGCGGATGGCGCAAGCCATTCACGTAAAACGGTGTATGTGTCGTGGACGCATGCACCGAGTTGTTAATGGCAAACTCTACCATTGGCAAAAACTCACTCCAACTTGTAAAGGAGTGTACGTATCCTCGAAGTATCTCTTCAAGGACACGATTGGCACGTTCGGTCTGACCATCTGACTCTGGATGATCAGATGTCGACATCTTCAAGCGCGTTCCGAGTGATTTGAACACGGAACGCCAGAAATAAGCAGTGAATCGTGGATCTCTGTCTGATACGAGTTCACGGGGCAACCCATGAAGTCGGAAGATGGTGTCAATAAAGACACAAGCACAGCCAATTGCCGTGATGACTCTGGTACAGCCACAAGGTGTACCATTTTGCTGAATCTGTCAACAAATACGAGAATACCCGTATTCCCGCGAGCGTCTTTGGGTAACCCGAAGACAAAATCCATTGAGATGGATTCCCAGCACTCAGCCGGAACCGGTAGAGGCTGTAAAGGTGCACGCAGTGAAGGACTTGACTTCACTCGTTGACAGACTTCGCATGCGCGAACATACTTTCGCACAAACTGATACTGGCGGGGCCAGTAAAAGTCTCGACTCACCGTGAGATATGTTTTCTCCCGGCCACGATGTCCTCCTATAGGAGCATCGTGATACTCGAACATGATCCGCAAGCGCAGATCAGTATCATCTGGAATGACAACACGTGGTGTGTCACCAGAGACGGCTGTATAATACAGTAAACCGTTACGAGTAGTGTATCGATCTGATGCAGATCGATACGCAGGCGACAATCGTTTCAACGATTCTCGAGATGGTTAGGAGAGATGTGTCAACATCTTCACAATCTCACCATCTTGGGCGTATGCCCGCCTCACATCATCATACAACGTTGTAGATGGGACTGAGGACGTCATAACCGCAACAGTGACTGTCTCACTGTTGGGTTTCGCGACTGTTTCAAAGTCGGGACGACGTGAGAGTGCATCAGCGACGACATTAATTCGTCCTGGCTTGTACTCGACCGTAAAGTTGTATTCCGCAAAGAATGACAACCACCGCGCCATTCGTTGTGAAAGGTGCGGGCTGTTCACTGCCGTGCGTAATGACGCATGGTCAGTGTAAACAATGAAGGGTCTATCTCCTAATAGATAGACTCTGAACTTCGCGAGTGCATACTTCATGGCAAGGAGTTCCTTGTCATGCACTGGATAGTTCCGCTCATCTGGTTGCAGCTAACGCGACTGATAGCAGACGACGCTTTCAACGCCTTCTAGGTCGTACTGCATTAATGCACAGCCGATTGCGAAATCGCTGGCATCACAGACCACATGGAATGGTCTGTCCTGATCGGCTATTGCTAGGACTGGGGATTGTATCAAGCTCTTCTTGATACCATCAAAGGAGCGCTGACATTCAGAGTTCCATAACCACCTCTCGTTCTTTTTCAACAAACGAGAGAGGTGCACAGTCATCTCGGCGTAATTGCGTAAATACTTATGCAAATACGCCGCTAGCCCAAGGAATTTTCGAAGACCTTTGACATCAACTGGCACAGGCCAGTCGGTGATCGCCTTGATCTTTTCGGGATCAGGACGTACACCGTTCTTACCAACGATGCACCCAAGAAGTGGTATTTCGCTTGCCGCAAATATACACTTCTTGAGGTTTGCATACAATTGATGCTTTCGCATGATTGTAAGAACCTGTCGGACGTGGTACCTGTGGACATCAACGTCCGACTTTCCATCCATAGCTCGACTACGGATGAATACGTCATCGAAATAACTCGGCGCGAATTCTCGTACTGGTCTCAACAGATGTGATACACATCTTTTGAATGTGGCAGGGGCATTACTAAGCCCTTGTGGCATTACTAGCCATTCCCAGAGCATGCCGCTAGACGTGCTAACTGCGGTATAGGGTATATCCCGTTCTCGCATAAGGATTTGATAGAAGCCATCCATCAAATCCATGGACGAAAAGATGGTACTTTTTGCCATACCATCAATGATGACGTCCTTCCTTGGTATCGGCGTCTGAGCCGGTACCGTTGCAGCATTCAACTTGTTAAATGCATGCACTATCCGCCACCCTCCTGTTGCTTTTCACACACAGAAGGTCGGAGAGCTATGTGGGGAAGTTGATTCCCTCACATGGCCCGCAGCTAAACGATCGGCAAAGAACTTGTCGATCGCAAGTACTTGTTCACGAGGAAGTGGCCACTGCTTCATGACACAGTACTTCGAGCCTGGTTTAAGCTCGACCTCGTGTCGAATACCTTTATCCTTCGGTAATTCGCACGGAACAGTTTCAGGGAATACATCCTTGAATTCAACCAAATCTTCATAAGAGGATTTTTCTTGAGCGATTCCCACGATTGGGAGTCATATCGCTCAATTCGTGTCTTTTCATCTAGGACACTCTCGTCCATAGATGAACTACTGAGAACTCTCTCGTTCTCAGTAAACACTGTTGCTGACCTTATGTCGGTTACACACTCGTCGTCAGCGACGAGTACGCAGATCTGCTTGACTTTGCCACTACGCAGATCACGCAAGAACCTTTTATGTTCGAGCGTTGGCAACTGAGTGATCTCCGAAGTCAACTTCGGAGGCGCAATCAGATCAAGTGTAAAAGCGCCTACACTTGATCCGTTATTGACTATGACATTCAATGTCTCTGTCATTTCCTGGGGACTTATTCCCTCAGGCTTCGAAGGACTTATTCCTTCGTCTTCCCGGGGACTTATTCCCGCGGGTTTTCGGGGAACTTATTTCCGCCGTATTTGTAATCTTGGGACTTATTCCCTTTACTTCCTCTAGCTGGGGTTGCGCAACCACAGCGAGACCCTCTACGAAAGACTCTCCAGTCGATCTAGGATTATCGTTTCGCTTAACCTGAGCGATCGATTGTTTCTCTTCTAGATGTTCCTCGCTAGGGATACATCTTTGTCCCAGTCCACCCGACTTATTCGAGTGGTGGACTTCCGGCGCAGCCTGTGTTTCCTCACAGCCGCCGGAACTTTGCTCCGAAGTGTAACCGTTTGGTACACTAAGGTTTTGTGCAGTCGTACTAACGACCGTACCACAAGTAAGGCCATCGCACTCACTCGTAGTACATCCACACGCTTGTGTACGCTCCAAAACGTTCATCAGGTGGCCATCTGATGAACAAGCGGCAGGCATCGTTACTGTTCGATGTTGCCAGTTTACTCGTGGTTCGTACCTTCTGAGCCACGGTATTCCAAGGATGACATCAAATTTGTCATCCAATTCCAATACGATAAAGTCATCGTCATATTGGGTATCTTCTAGCGTATAGTGGATATTCACTATACGCTTCATGACGGTTACGGATGCGCCTGTCGCAAGACGTACCGTCATCCTCGTAGGAGGTGTGTCACATTCACTGAACTTAAAGTGACCATCTTCTAGCGATTGGCGTCGCACAAAATTGTTGGACGCCCCACAATCGACTAGAGCTCGAAGGGACAACTTATTCGTCACTTCGAGTTTCAAGGTAATGAGTGAGACCTCATTACCTAGAGCAGCAACGCACAACGTTTGTGTGCTGGGAGCAACCTTCATCAAGAGGCCTACAAATTCTCTTGACGTTTCTGGACCAGTAGGGTGCTCCGCACCTACTGATCCTGTCGGTTTTTTGACGGTCCATCCCGTTGTTGCGTCTTTGCACCAACAGCGGACCCTCGTCCCTGCCCCTTTCTCATGGGTGGACGGTCACTACGCCCAGTGTTGCGAGACACTGGACGAGGGGCACTACACTCGTAAGCGTAGTGTCCTGTCTTTTGACATCTGTTGCATCTCTGCAACTTCTTGTAGCCTGTAGAGCTAGCCTTCTCGCTCTCTACATAACAGAGTTCCATCGGCTCTGGACCTCCGTTGTCATATCGTCTCGGTTGACGATATGATGTCGAGCTGGCGCGAGCCTGTCTCAGACTGAAGTCTTCCTGTTCCGCGATGGAAATGGCTTGTTCTAGTGAATCTAGTTCAAGCCGGAACAGGTGAGTCTTGACGGGACCATCCGCAAGACCCTGCATGCACACCGAAACCAACGTGTGTTCATCCACCGGATTGGAACTTATACAACTCGTAAGATATCGTATATGTTGCGCGTAAGCGTGCACATCACGCTTACCCTGCTTGAGCTTCAAGAGTTCGGTTCGAGCTCTGAACTCAGCTCTAGGCGGTTCAAACGTTTGTCTGAGCCGCGACTTGAAGACTTCCAACGACCCAAACGCATATGAGTCGTGCAACTTGAGCCCCAGTGCCCAAGTCTTGGCACGTCCTGCCAGATTTGTATGGGCAAATGCAACTTGCATATCCCCGTCGTCAATCCGACGCGCCCTTATGGCGTCATCCAATTCGACGAACCATCTCAAGAGGGAGTCCTCTTCGACTCCCCTATACTTGGAGATGTCAATCTTCAAGGTCTCGGGTCGACGCGAGTGCATCGACCCACCAGCAGCAGCCTGCTGCTGTCTCAACAGTTCAAACTGTTGAGCACCCTGTTCTCTCAACAACTCTGCTTGTTGAGAACCTTGTTGGTGAAGCAAGGCTACTTTCTCGCGTTCAGCGTCAAGTTCATTTTGAATGAACTTGGCGATAGTAGCATGTTGGGCATCTCTATTGAGAGCCTCTAGCATGACGCTAACAGCATGGATGCCCATGTTTGAACCCATCCGTTCAACCGCATCCCATTCGACATCGCTCAAATGGGAGTAGCCGTCACGCGTAGCGTGAAAGCTTTGGTCATCTTCATCATCCAACATATTCATGTTAGATGTGAACGTGGTCCTTGGACGGACTACGAAGTGCTACCAGGTGTAACGGAGCACCCTGAAGCTTGTACTGGTGACAGTACAAGCTACTTATTCTGATTACAGAATAAGGCGGTGCCTCGTAACTTCACGTACACTCGTACGTGCAGAGGAAGACGGTAAGAAGAAGCGAGTACTTGGTTAAAGTAAAACGTAGAACTGTATTTATAATAGTTAATGTCTGCAATAAATCACTATTTATCTTCATCTAACTATGTCTAAATACAAATGTGTAAATCAACTATCTGCTCACCACTCATTGCGTGCGTCTGTCGTGGCGCGTCTTCGTTGGTTGATATAATGGCCTACATCAACCAATTAGGAACTACTCGTAAGTGCTACAGAATATTTGTCCTTATGACAATATTCTGAGAATATAACTCTTATAGTTATATTCTATTAACAATTTCTTATAAATTGTTATGTAACGATTCACCCCATTACAGTACCCGCTGCCGACGCAGCGGATGTACCTGTCGCACGTGGAGACTCACCATGTGGACTGGTCACAACAACAGGCGACGAATCACCTACTGCTGAGGCGTGAGAAGTACTCTCTCCGGCTGCACGCATCGCCTTTCTTGCTGCTGCAGTAGCAACTCGCGTGGTTTTTGATACCATGCGTTGGATTGGCAAATGAATGGAATTTGACCAACAAGTGCTCCCTTTCCCAGAGTGATCCAACGGTGGTCACCCTGTCCCAATCAATTCTAATTCAATCTACGAGTGATTGATGGTATAGGTGGGGGGGTGATGTAACGGGGTAGCCCGTTACATAAAATTGACACCGGCGGTGTCAATAGGAATATTGTCTAGCATGACAATATTCTACCAATATTATCCGAGTGGATAATATTGAAGGAATATTTTCCCCTTTATAGGATAAAGTTCACGTGCTGCTCCAAGATTGGTTGATATAAGACATGTCAACCATAGATTGACACCAATCGCTGCTAGACGCGCGCAATGAGTGGTGAGCAGGTTGTCGTCATACGTCGAAGTAGGTTAATATAGTTAGATAAATAATATGGTTGTATTGAAAGATTAACTATATTGAATACAGTTCTCTTTTTACCTTTACTTGAACGAGTTGTTCGAGTAGATTAGCTTTCTCTGCACGTACTAGTGTACGTGAAGTTTCGTGGAACCCCAAACAAAGGGTGCCCCGTTACACTAGCCATCTCTTTCAGATAGAGAATGAATTCCCTCAGTGCATCAGCCCCCTTATCTATTCGTGAACGCAGGATCACTCTGGTTAGCCGCTACCCAGGTTCTGCAAAAAGTGTTGGTTACCATGGGGGTGGGCTCGATCAAACTGTTTTAAAGTGTGGGTATGAGCAAGATATTGGAATACTATATGCAGTAAAAAGGTAGCCGTTCGTCCAAGCGGCACACTCAAAGAGATTATTGCAGCCTATTTCCTACAATTAAGTATGGGCCGTCTGGTCTGGACGCGAGCAATTCTTAGCTATCTGACTTGCGATGCTTGAATTATGTCACGATCGCTGTAGAATCGTCGTTAACAGACTGAATCTGATTGCGCGCTGATTTATGAAGCAAGTTCCAATGCTTAACTTCGCATACTACTCTCTAGACGTCGTTTTGAACCAGCCTACTTTGGCTGCGCGTTATGACAACTCGCACGTCAGGTGTGATCGACAGCGCATATTTAGCTTTGTTATTTGGCTACTGGGTATTGCTTGGAACGCAGGCGCATCTTATTAATGATATCGTCAAGCATGCTCGGATTAATGCGGCCGTGAGTGCAAGCTGATTCATCCCAGACGAGCACGTGAAGGCATCGCGTACACCTGTCGATATGGTCGTGGGCTAAGAGAGTTCCAACAGGATGGATCAGCTCATTTACAAATGCGCACCATCCGGTTTTACCTCCACACACGTGTTTAGAAACACTGCATATTGCACGATGGTGGCACAACATTTCCCGTACTTCACTGCGGTGTTCTTAAAGTTTGCATCCCCCGATAAGCAGTCGGAAATGGAACGAGTTTCTTTCATCTGCTCAAGTTAGTGGCCAAGCAACCGTATGGAACACGGGGTCACTTCATAGCATCGACTTTTGCTGAAGAGCAGAATCAATGCTGTATATCTCTCTGGGTGGATCGTCGACTACTGGTGATGTAAATTTACCCGGTGTTCGGCCGGCGAATGTGTACGACTATTGTAGCCGGTGCACAACCATATGCTTACACTAGGATGTTTTATGATAAATCATTAAACCATGTCTTGAGCCATCTGCTGTGTGATCTCGACTGGTTCTGTCACATTTCCACGCCCGACTGTGTACACTTGACAACTTCATGACAGCGATACGACCATTTAAGTTTAATTTATTCAAAAAAAGGAGCGCACGCGTATTCAATGATTCTTTCCAAGCAGTACGACGTGCTAACGTTTGTTCGAGTCACACATACCGATACGCTGGATAATCTGTCCCGACGTAATACATTGTCTGGAGATGAGCTATATCGAGAAAGCGTGGGATTTCTTGTACTAGTTTCTGGAAACTTTCGGGGCGATGACTGGACTCAGGGCACAACTGTACGATTCCACTACAAGCGTTTCGATCACCGAACTCGTGGTCAACATCTTCAGGCATTCCCAAATGTTTCTAGTGTATATAGAGTGCCCCTCACTAGGCTTTCATTCGACCTGCCTTCTTGACCTTTGTTCCAATTAACTCGTAGCCGACTGCGATTCGGTCCAGCAGACACGATAGATGATGGGTCGACGTGGTACCCATACCATCTTGTTTCACGTTGCATGAGCATAGCGAGTCTTCATGCACAGCAGCGCTGCTTAAGTCAAGGTCTGTGCAATTTTCTCAGGCCTTCGGAATGAAAGAATGCCATGGCATCAAAATTCTGAAAGGCGTTCCTCAAAGGGAGGAGACTCACCTCCATCGGAGAAAGAGCCATGTCTTCGCTTCCGCGGCGTATCATCGACTGAACATCCTCCCCCCGCTATTACTTGACAGCTTGAGCTTGCGGCTTCTTAAATATGTTAGTGCATTGCGCAGCTGGATCTTGGTTGGCATGAGGTCCGTACCGAACATACCCTGCTCGTGTAGTGCTGTGAGATCCTTGTAGATGACCATGGGTTTTACGTCAGCGTTTTCTCGCAGCATGCGCACGATGTGCTGTTTCATGTCCTCGGTCACTGACGTCTGCAGAGGCTCGGCAGAGTCGTGCTCTTCACTCAAGTGCTGATACGCCTGACAAACAATACCTGAGAACGTAAGCTGACATGTGGACATGCGGACTTGCACGGGGCACGCACGAGGCTTGCCCTGCTCATCCAGCAAGCTCTCGCTCGGACCGTTGCTCTTGGGGTGACACAACGCAGAGGTGCATTTTGTCCACTGGACCTTCATCTTGTGCTCAGTGTTCACAGCGTCCACACCGAGATCTTCGTGGTTCATGGTGCAGTTCACGAGGTGCGTGTTGATGATAGCGTTGCGCCTGAGCGAGCGGCGAAAGTCGTTCATCTCGGCCTCGCTCTTGGTCACACCGATAATGTACCAACCACCGTCATCCGGGTTGTGCAGCAGACGTCTTATATCCATGTCGAGGTCGTGAACGTCTCGACTTCGGAGTCCTGGGTACCGACCGGGTTATAAGGCTGTCGAGACGATGAGTGAGGTCCCACTTGTCAAACGCTCTGGCGTCTGGGTGAAGGCAGGGCGTTTCCAAGATTTCGTGGACGGTACGACTTGTTTCGTTTTCCGCACAATGGTGATGAGGTGCACGTGACTGTGGCGGCCAAGAAAAAGCTCAAACTGGAGGCGGTTCTTGACCGAGGAGATATTGGAGACTGAGCCGAGAGCTATGCTAGAGACCACTTGTGCAAAGAACCGAGAGACTCAGCTTTGGTGGCCGACTGATTCCGCCGGTCAACTTCTGCTGCTGCAAAGTCGCAGTGAGAAAGAGGGGGTCACTGACAGCATGAAGTGCGAGAGAAAAGTCATGCGCTTGTCGCGCTTGTCGCGCTTGCCGTGTCAACGGTGTAACGCCTCAACCGTCTGATGCTTGTACAGTTTGCGACCCTCCATCTGAGTGCATCCTTCATACAGTCAATGTGCCAGAGTGGTGCAGCTTCCCTAGTCTTCACGAGTTGACCGGCTGCGGTACTTTGAAGCAAAAGTACGATCGCCTGTTAGACATACTACAACTATCGAGCAAGTGCCGAATCGGCTATGTGCTGTCCGTCGTTCCGACGTGTGGTCGCCTTCTAGACGATTTTGCGTCATCTAAACCGTATTGATTCGACACATTGATCGGAACGAGCGCTGTTCGGCCGAGGCAGCTAGCTAATAGCGACACTGGCAAGCGCATAATCTTTGTTTCATTGGCTCTTGACACATTGCGGCAACTCTGCGACTCAAGACTACAAGAATCGTGCAGCAGGATTTTAGGAACGATGCTCGCCCGTTCTTTGGTATCCTCTGGTCGACGCCCAGACCGATAGAGGGCTGCCATTGCCGGGGATCCGTCATCTCATAGCATCAGTCGCAACTGAATGTCAGCCAGACGAGGTACGGGCGTTGCAGCTCGCGTCGTCTCAACGATTCAATTTTGCGATCGAGGACCGTGCTCTAGGTGTGACAATTGAGTTGTCGTTGTGGAACGATACCATCCGGTTCGGTGCAATGCGATGTGCACATGCACACGCGGTCCCTAGATGCCTTCTCGTTGGAGTCCGATGCAGCGAAATGCGCTTGTTATCAAGAGACAAGCGCTTGTCTGTGAGCAGCTCCAATCCGCTAGCGACGTATTGGTGGGAGCGTGGTGGCGTCCCCACACGTGTTGCCTTCTTTCTGTTCATCGACTCATCGGAGGCGCTTAAATCCACGTTTGCATCGAGTGAAAGGCAATCGATGTGACGTCGGCGTGGTGTGTTAGCAATGACGACGCGGTATGTTGCATTGATCACGATACGGTTCATAGTGGTATCGGCTGGCGGGCGTCACATAGTAGTTTCCCGCACCATCGATCATATCATGAATGACTCATTGCCAGTAAACATTGTACCTCCGGTCAAGCTCGGATCGCATGCGCAGTATGTTCGTTTTGTGTGTGCTCCGATGCATTGGCGTCGTTATGAAGCCTTTGCTAGTGTCGTTCTGGTTGAGACCATCCACAGATACTCCAAAGTGGATGGCCGATAAAAGTTGGCAAAGCATGCCTTTCCAATCCTTCCGCCTGGCTGATCGCAACCGTATAGCCCGATTTGGCAAGGCCTTTTTATCGATTGAAAACGAAACCACACAGAAGGGAACAATGACCAAGGAATGTCGGCTGTCGCTCAGCAGTGCGGTGCGGTGCCAGTTCTGCTTTACGCCGCACTATCCCTGGCGTAGCCTGAACCTCACAGACGGTCTTTGTGCAACCAGAGAACGTCCGTCTGCCCGGCTCCAAATACGCCGAGAAAGGCTGTGCTCCAAATTATGTGCCGTGGCACCTGATGCTGCTGCACCTTGCAGACTCATGACGACTATCGTGCTGTGGGTGGTCGGCAAGCATACAATCTACGTCTCTCTTTTCCGTCGGTGATCGTGACATTGAGCGCGGCACAATGCAAGGGTTCGACATTCTAGTTTGCAAGACCAGGAATGGAGTCAAGTTATCTCCTTTACGGGTTATGTGACGGTCGAATGGAGTCCATGTCAGCTCATTTGTGAGCGCTTTCGCTCAATTTAATGTCCACAATTATCAGCGTGGATTAAGAGTAGCGGACCCAAGAAAGTATATATCGTGACGGCAGACTGTGTGCAGCGCCTGCATGTCACTTAGTGTCGGAAACAGGTACCGTCAGTCAGGCAGCTAAAGACATACCTGGACAAGAGGGTCAAGTTCAAACCTTGTGTATGCTACTCCTAGATAAGGGTAAGTAAGGTCTCATAGTGCGTACAGTAATGGCGTCTTCGGAGGAGACAAATGTGCGGTAGAGCGATAACGGCAACGATGTATCTCCAGAATGCCAGCAAATGACTATGTGTGTCGTTGGCAACCTGTAGAAGCTTGGCTTGTATGTTATAGTTAGCCACTCTTGACAAGCTTATGCTGAATTGACGTCAAACCACTACAAGTTCTGCTATTCTGGAGACTGTAAATTCTGTGGATGATGCGCTGAAAGAAACAATAATATTTGCTACATCACTCCAGCTTAGTAGTGTCCGGAACATCCTCGGATTACTTGATCAGGACGGAATGGAAATGAGAAGAAAGTAGGCGCTGTAGTACTAAGAAGCAGGATTACTTTGGCTGGAGCGTATTGCATACTCTGTTCAACCGGAGCTGTTGTACTTTGTGTGAAAAACTTTACTGACTTAGTACGGCAGTTCTGTGGCTTGAGCACCATACACGGTGGTGAAAGGAGAGACTTCAAGACTCATGCGATGCTTTTTTTGAAAGTGTCATTCACTTTACCGTACATTTTTCCAACCATCATAAAACTGCATACTTGGATCATGAAGACTTCAGGACAATCCATATTACCATGTCCACTGAGACTCTTCACACTGACTTGTGAGCCAGCCACCTGCCATCAGCTATGACTAGTATTCACCACGTCCAATCAGTTTCGACACAAATTCTTTGACGCCTCTTCGAGACCTCCATCGTGCACAGTTGAACGTATACACCCGGCTGTTCGAAGTTAGAAAGCGAAAAAACTTTCCTGACTTTCTTGTACGTACGTCTGCACGGTTATCAGCATCAGCGAGCTTTTTCGAGCAAATCTTCGTAGAGGATGTCACCTTGTTTGAACTGATTTTCCATCTAAGCCTGCATGTCCGTTACGACGAAAATGCGCCGGATACGTCAGGCGATTCAAAAATGCGTCCTAGCAGACATGATCAGCAATGTTGCACCCACGACGTTCATCAAACTGAATCCTCCGCTTAAAGCCTTGACTTGACTTTCGTTGCTATCGAAAGACCGCACCTCGTGCAAGCACAAAGACACATTCACTAGGCTCTCCCGATCATCGAAATCTTTTGCCTACTCGTTACTACATCATCCAAGGACTCTGGATATTGCTTATTGATGGGGTGCGCGTGCGCGTGATTACCATGCTCCCCGGCGTCCCCAGCTAACTAATCGTAAACACGCTCCACATATCGAACGCCCCACATCGTCGGTCAGTTTCTAGTTGACTGACTTGACAATGTGCGCATCCCAAGCCAGCCCGCGCACATGTGGCCACGCGTATACGATGGTCATTCCACTACAAAAAATTGATCCGCCGATCTCTCTGGATGTCATTAAAACCAGGATGTGACCACGCAGTTCGTCACAGTAAAATCTTTTAGTACGCAACGTACATTTTATCTGTCTTTTCTCGACCGCACTTTTTCATTCGTCCGCCTGGCATCCCCATGTGATTGCATGCTATTTGTTGCACAGAATACGCAAGGTCAGCAACTTGCCGAAGCAAAAACGGTTGTCTCATCGCGATTGTAGCGTGGCGATGAAATGACACCAAGAATCTGGGTGTCTCCGATCTTCATCCCCCTTGTCATGGTTATCACTGTTGCACTCATACCCACCTTGGAGTTGTCGGAAGAACACCTCGTGCTCTACGTATTTGCTCTTGCTCGTACATAATATTCACGAATTGATCTTACAAAATCACGTCAAACGGATGTTCCAGTATTTTTACCGTCCATTCTTGAGACCATGGCCCACAACTATGCATGCGCCTTTCAGAAGTCTCATATGCGTATCACCGAATCCAGATTGGGACTCATCCAGTTCCCTGATCAAGCTGCCGAGCAAACATATGGTCATCTACGCCCCGACGCCATCATTATCTGATTTCAATGATTTTGGGTGGAACACCGGCGTCAAGAATTTATTTTAGTCCTATGATAATCGCCACTGCGTCCATTTCTTCTCTCCAGTTTCCTTTCCCCAGAAGCGTCTTTGTACTCGTCTACACTTTCTGCTACTCCACGGATTGTATGCGCCACTCGCACGTACCGTCTTGCTAGCTCATTTGGCACTCCTGCGTGTGGGGTGTGAGCCACAAATTCTTTGTAAGATTGGTGGTACGTGGCTCACACACCTCTTTTAGACTCGCGCATCGTGTTGAAGTACGATGTCCACAAGTCATAGCAGAACAGACCTCATATCGATTATACTGTCGAAGCGAATCGTAGAACGAAACGGGTAGTAAGCGGACCTCGACGTGGCATTAGAAGGGTTAACAAGGATAAGAGGTCCTTACACGGCATAATGAAATGCACCTGCAACAAAGCTTCAGCAGGATCGTCGATACCACGCGCGTGGGTTATGGTTTACCTCGTGAATGAAAGTGAGATCTTCAAAATATACCGTTGGAATCGAACACGTAATCTAAGGTATGATAGTCTTATCTCGAACGGGCCAAGAGAAGCTCTTGTTTCGATTGAGACAGCCTATTTAAAATCGGTGCTGATATTAATCATGGTCTGTTGCCAAGAAGTAAAGTTTTCAAAGTCAAGTATTTCTACTTTGTTTGATCACGTGATGAAACTAAAGGAGAGCTCGTGGTGACACAAATGTCATGCTTTTCTGCATCAAG